GCTGCAGAAATTATCTCTTACATGAGCAGCACCTTCATCTCCTTGGACGAGTGGGACATACACCATCCTCTTCAACTCATGGAAAGTGCAAACTAGGCCCTCAGGCTGACAGGGGCTGATTAATAAGATGCATAATAACTAGAAACTGACATAGTGCCGAAAGTTAGGAACCAACAACAGGTTCCACAGCTTGCTATCAAAGGTAGTGTCGCAAAAGCTGTAGCGATTGGTGTATGATCTGAGAGGTGAAGGCAGCACTGGAGCATATGACACGTCTATCCAAAGAACGGTTGGAGGCAAGGAATAGAGGGGTGGGGAACTGGGGTACGTGGGGGTACTCTAACTTCAACGCATTCGCAACATTGCGTCCCAATGCTGGGATGCGGCATATTGAACAACAGCCACATATTATCCAGGAACGTACTGTAGAATGTATGGTAGCTGGATTCCTGGCAAACTGAGGCTTCATCTGCGATAGCCAATGTGATGAGGTAACTTCCGACAATAGGAAATCTAAATCGAATCCAATTTACGACCACTGGAGCGAAAATATTTCTTTTTACGAGCTCGCTCCCACGCTTCACGTGAATGTAGTGGAAGTATTTCACGAAGATTTGCGATTTATCTTGGAAGTAACAAAGAACAGCAAAGCCTTTCTAGCTTCTGCAATCGAGCTCTGGTTCTCTTTCAATTGTTTTGGTGCACATATGTCCTAGCATTTATGCGCAGGGAGTAATAAGAAATAGTGACTGTGCAGTTGCGGTCTTGCTAACTAGGAAGATGAGCCTGATGAATATTTTAAAAAATTCAGCACCGGAAAAATTTTGGGCAGTTATAGCCACCCACCTCTCAAGCATCCAAATAACGATCATTCTATTGTGTTTTTCACACAGCTACTATGCCCTCATTGGGACCCATATGTTTCTCCATGCTATTCCTACTGTTAACTAGGAACTTTTCACCGATTTCGAGGGGTTAGGTGGATCAAAGGGCGCAACTTGTGACTGGAGTGGTCTTGCGTATGTGACACCTGATTAGTAGCCCCCATTCTTCCACTTTAAGGGCACTTCAGAGGCCAAAATTGACCAGAGTTTGTATACCACTGAGCTGTAACGAACTCATAGGATGTCTTGATCTTTTCAGCACCTCATTGCGACTAGTTTTGAAAGTCTTCTTTCTCATATTCACATGAAATTATACATTAACCTACACTTTGCTGAAGATGCCTCGCAATGGATCAAAGTGCGAAACACTCTTTACGCAATAATCTTCTTCAATGATGAAGAAAAAGCTTCATGATACTTGTGAAATTGGTTTTGATTTGTTAGATGCAATAGAGAAGAGAAAACTCCGCTCTATCAGCATTAATCTTTTATTTCACACAGCAGGTGGCATTGAGTTTTTGCCAGTCCCCTTTTCTCCTTCTGCGAAATATGCCTTTTCATTGAAGTGGAACAGTCTTCGTAACTCTACGACTTTTGATGTTTCTCACAGCCAAGAAGTCGGGAATTTCTTGGCTTTCTCAGCTGCGTTCCGTTTGGGGACCTTGTAAGGCGGCCAGGTGAACCACAGTTCAACGTTCAATAGACCATAGTAAACCTGGACGTGGTAGTTGAAACATCACGCGTTCAAATGCATGCCAAGTAGTTTTCAATTGTACCAAATAAGTGTAAAAAGCTTTTGATAGACCCTTCTCTCTGAAGAGGATTTCTCTACCAGCAACTAACGGTTCGAAGCTTAGACTGACTGGCCCAGGGCAAGTGACAGAAAGGGTGGGTAGGGTTCCTTCAGGTTGTTGCCCGTTTCAGAACGGTTCGGAAAATGTTGTAGAGGTTCATGAGGAGGTACGAAGTGCGTAGCTCATTTTCGGTGCTCCTTCCACGGAAATAATGAAGAATAAACTGATGGTTCGAATACCTCAGATAAAGAAATTTCTTACCTCGCGATTTGTATTCTCTTCTGTCCATGTAAGCCGAACCCTTTGTCCGAAAAGGAACATATCCAGAAAATCCAACGCAGAATTCTTCTGTCCAGAGCCGCCCTATGTCGCCTAGATGGTCAAGATCTCGTGAAAGCTTTTTTTCATTCAGCGTTCTGCAAACGCCCAGCGAATATGAGTTACGTAGCACATGAGAGTAAGACCATTCTGCATGTGCCACTTCTACAGCCCTAGGTGGGCTAAAGGGATTCAGGCATACCCAAGTTAAAGGTCACTGGCGTCTGGTCAGCACGTAATTGTATTTCGTGAGAGCAAGATGGATAACTCATAAGCTGAGGGTTTGCCACAAATGAACTCTCTGAGTTCCTGATTCTTCAATGAACATGAATTCCCTCTGCATCCTCTACAGCAGCTACTCCTTTTATTCCCAAACTGTTCACCAATAGGATGCCCCCCCAACCAAGAGAATTTTCAAACCTTCTTTGTGACAAGAAGTGTGACTAAGGCGATAGCGTTCAAAAGCCGTTCGAGAATCGACGTCTCGCAAAGAAAGGAATTCGGAGACTATTGGACACTGGAAAGAGTCAATAATGCACCTAGGCAAAAAAATCTTGTTCAACACTGCAAAGGCACAGTCTATAATTAGCTGAAAAGGGCAAGTTCCTCCACGTACAATCCATAACAGAGAGCGGCCATATAAACCAACTCGCTTGGCTGCCCACCCTGCACCACGGTCTCCCATAGAATGGTAGAGGGTATGTAGTTCCAAGTGGCGGCAATTGCAATACGAGCTGACTTGGGAGATAAAGTCAACGCGTACCACTCTGCCATGTTCAGTGGGTTGGGTCCTCGCGCGATGTCACCCCGACTGAAACACAGGATTCGCTGGGGGAAAAAAAAAGCTCAACTCCCATCTTTTATGTTATTTACATCCGCTTTCTGCTTTTTTCTGCGTGGACCAAAACAGCCGTCGTCAGACTAAAATGGGGATACCTGAATAATTTTGGACCTTGTTAGATAAGCTGGTTCCGCCAACTGTGGAAGTTTTATCAAGAAGAAGTGGAGATTAATATCTCGTCGAACGCAATTTTTTTTCTGGAAAACAGATTGGGGTAGGGTAGTTTGCTTTCACGTGCACACATTCTGGATTGAACCGCTCCCAGGAAAACCAACGGCCCATCTTTCTGCGGTCGAGAATTAGGTGTTGAATTGGCGAAGGAGAATAAGAATACTGGCTCGAAGGTGGCTTCCTGGGCTAACCCAGGAATCGATGACGGTGCGGTCCGCAGCTCTATCCATTATACCACATAGCGTCGCGATACCATGGTTGCTTTCCGAAAAAAATTATTATAGTATTCCAGTTCCGCTTAAAAGCACCTTCTTGCGTCACATCCACTGGCGATTTATTATATACTCCAAAGTCTGCAACACGATCTTTTTCAAGCGGAAAAGTAGTCTCTTCTTTTGCACAGATTGCGGTGTTTCGCAGCCATCTGCACCCTCTTTTTGCTGCCATCGAGCCGATGAGACCAAGTCAAGCCATGATCCACACTGTTTTTGGGTGTAAGCCGCATTTATTCATTTATGACCACAAAGATGTCTGGCGAAACGAGTGGAAATGGGCAGGGTCACGCGGCGGCCGTTTTCTTTTTTGCAGCAGCAGCAACCACATTAGTTCCTGTCTGGTCTGGTGCTGCGAATGAACGAGGAAACCACGATTCAAATCGAGGAACACCACCAAGGTGAAGAAGGAGAGGGGCAAATTGGTTCACCGAAATATTCTTAGCATTCAAGGGAGTACAGGCCTATACATAGGACAGCTTATACCCCAAGAACTGAAGTACTAACAACATGCTTGATATATCGCTGATTCACTAACAAGTGAGAGGTCGTCAAGGTGATCACTACTTATGCTTGTCTTTCTCACGTCCATAGCTGAGTTATGTCGTCAGGGCAGTTCATCTTCAAGGGATTCCGAACGGAGGTCTTTTTCAGCCTCGGAGAACACGCCATATCGCGCTCTGAAAAACACCGCGCTTTTGTGACATTTGGTTCCTCATTATATGTTCACTACTACGCCTCACATTCCTTCCCCCACCTGCTTTCCCTCCCCCATTGCGAAACTTATTGTGGTGTCTTCTACAGTTAGTGAAAGTGAAATACGGGGAGGGCACTGCATGTGAAAATTCCTATATTTCGATGATGTGTCGGTATTTACATTTTATGATGGCACGTGCTTATGTCTTTGCTTGAACAACCCATGTGACTTGGGAGGGACCTTATCAAGAGGACGCGATCGTAATTCCTGAACCCTTTCCCAGAGACGTGATGTGAAGATTGGCTTGTGTCACGTCGGACAATGTTCTCTCCTTGACACTAATCTTGCCGCGCAGAAGTATGGCCCGGTTTAATGACAGTCCCCGCGCTCAAGCAATCGTCTTGCCTTGAACGAGTGGTCTGGTCCGTATTGTTCAAAATCCTTCCACTTTTGCGGCCTCGCTTTGAGTAACGAAGGCGCTGCAGCCTCACAAGTGGCAGTCCTGACGCCTACCTAGTTGCCCGGCGCCCGAAAGAACACAACTGCAGTATTCCCTCAATTTCAGTTTTGACATCGTGTTGTTTTCATTTTTATCATCGTTTAGATCGGTAAAGCACTGCGTGACGAGAGAAACGGATTTAGAAATCAGATTAGGCAGGATAATGCTTATTTCCTTGAACGAGCAGGTCCGAAGAACTTGAACAATGAGGCTGCCAGGAGTCCTTACCTAGGGTGCTCAGAATTTCTCAGCTTTTCCGCATCTGGAGAGCATTGTAGCGGCTAATAGCGTTCGTATCGAACCGCAACTTGTCCGCAATTGGTTGTCGTGCCAGTTTGTCTTTAAACCCCGAGATGGTCCCCTCCCTGGCACGTAGCGGACTAACCTTACTTTGCGCACCTAGTCACTTAACACGGTTTTTCATAATCCTGTAAATATTGGAAATGATTCCGGCAGGTACTCGATTTGCTGATGTTCTTGTTTGGTTCCGCTTTTTTTCCTTGTTTAGGACTTGAAACATTCAGGATCCTCGGACAAACAATCTTGTGCAAGAAACGTCGTTTGTCCAACCACAACAAAGCCAATTCCGACAACCGCAACCTCAGCCGTCTTTCGAACAACAACAGTCACAACAGTCATTTGCTCATCGGCAACCACAGACGGTTTTCGAACAAGCGCCAACGCGATCCCCATTCACTCATCAGCAACCACAGACATCTTTCACTTCACAGCCAACCACGTTCACTCAGGTGGGTTTTGATTTTGCCGGGGCGAAACAACATGAATTCTTGTGGAATCAGCTCCAGTTGAAACTTTCACGCGACAAAGTCCACGCTCACCTGTATCACCTGTGCTCCCGTTGATCATCGAGTTCCTCGAGCGGGCGCCAGTAACGTCTCCATTCGTCCCTGCAACGTGCAAGAGTTGCCCAATGGACTCTCTCTGCTCGAGGGACACGATGAACTTCATACCATTCGTTCAGAGCTTTCACGAAAAAGTGACCATCGCGTAGGCGGTCGTCCAGGCGTTCGCTTGACATCCCGTGGAATCCAGTCGGTGATCGCTCTGGTCCAGCGGTCGTCCTCGAAACGCATGACGTGCCCGGCCCACCTGATCTTCGAAACCTTGGCAAATGCGGCGGCGTCTCTGATCTTCGATCGTCGGGCGGAGCTCCGGATTCCCTCTCTCACTTGCGTGTAGCGGGAAACTCCGAGCATCGCCCTTTCGATGGCGCGTTGAATAACGCTAAACGCATGCTTTCGTAGAGTCCAGGTCTTCGAGGCGTAAAATAAAGCAGAAAAAACCGCAAACACCGTGGGCACAGAGCCTGGTGTTCTTCGTCTTCTTCGCTACTCCCTCGATGTTCTTGAAGGCTCCCCAAGCCGCTCGCTTCCTCCTGCTCAGCTCTGGTGCTAAGTCATTCATCATATTGATTTCACGACCTAGGTACACATAGCTAGAGCATTCAGAGATGGTCGTTCCGTTGAGCGTGAATGGGGCATCAGAAACCAATCCGTTTCTCATGAACATCGTCTTCGTTAGATTCAGCCGTAGACCGATTTTTCCACACGCGCAGTCGAAATCAGCCAGCATTCGTTCCGCTTGCTCGATGTTTGGTGTTATCAAAACGATGTCGTCAGCAAAGCGGAGATGGTGTAGTTGCCGACCGTCGATCTTCACTCCCATGTCTTCCCATTCCAGTTGACGCATGACGTTCTCGAGAGAGGCGCTGAAGAGCTTGGGCGATGGTGTCGCCCTGTCGGACCCCTCTCTTCACATCGATGATGATCTCCTTGTAGAATGGTGATCTTGGTCGTGAAGTTGCTGTAGAGCTCACGAAGAATCCTGATGTACTGAGTAGGAATACCCTGGTTGCCCAGGGCTTCGATAACCGCTTCTGTCTCAACGGAGTCGAAGGCTTTCTTCAAGTCGATAAACGTGAGACATAACGGCATCTTGTACTCTCGCGATACTTCAATGAGCTTCGTTACCGTGTGGATGTGATCGATCGTGCTGAATCCTCTTCGAAACCCTGCTTGCTCGCATGGCTGTCCTTCGTCTAGTGTTCTGCCAATCCTGTTCAGGATGACTCGTGTGAAGAGTTTGTAGACTACAGACAGCAGGCAGATTGGGCGATAATTGCCAATGTCGTACAGGTCTCCCTTCTTGTACAGCAACACAGTCTTGCTGGTTTTCCACGAGGTGGGTACCTTGCATTCCGACAGGTAGCGCGTGAAGAGTCGAGCCAGAGTTTTGACGAGAACTGGCGGCAGATTCAAAGTCCAAGTTTATCGTGGCAAATAAACCCCTTTCGCGGATCAGGACATTATCGGATCGACCTTTATGTCGGCACTGCAGCAAGAACATTTACTGTCTTACAAAGCTTCCCGCGCCGATTACGAGTGAGAGCACCTGATTACTGCCTTCGTGAACTAAGAAGCCTTGACTTCGTCCTGCTCGACTCCATTGCCATTATTGTATTGCTAATGTTCCTTCCTGACCCTCATTAGAGCCCTCTTTACTTCTCATTAGCCTCCGAACGCCTCCTTAAGGGATCTCTAATTGAATACTTCGGACTCTAAACTGGGAAAATATGCCATTAGTGGCGGAGAAACAATATCATTTGATTACTTCGAACTCGTACTAATATCCAAATTTCAGGCAGCCGAACCATCGACAGCTCGCATGAAGCAGATCATACCTCTCACAGGTATGGAAATCATACATCGACGTAGGTTCATGCCCACATAAGTGTGGAGCACGCACTCACGATCAGATGTGTGACTTTTACTTACCCGGCTTTTTTATCAGCATTATGCACTTTATGCTTCTCACGCAAGCGACAGTTATGGGTAACCAATATTTTTGGAAGAAAGAAAAACAATTCAAAATATCAGAATAATGCAAAAAAATAGAAAATTTCAAAATTATAATGGAAAGAAAATCACCATCACTAAGCGGGCATCGTCTTGCCTCCAATGTCAGTAGTCGCTGTTTCCAGTTGTTCTTCAAAACCGAGAACGACTTGTTAATACTGAACAGATTCATTACTACGTTTAACTGAATGATTAGCAAGGACAAAGGATACCACACCAACAGTCAAGTCTACAGTCGCAATCATACATCAAGAATGCACGGAATGAGCAGGATTGTGGATAAAGTGTACGGGCATCAGTTTGGATTCTATTCTCCTGATCCTGAAGGGTCTGCGGACTCTGGGTGATCCTTCCAAAACACCGCAGTGGCCAATCACTCCTATCGAGGTTGACCCATAAGCATAAATAATTTCAATATTCTTCTAACTTGAACTTTAGCTTTAAAAATGAAACATAGCTTCAAAAATGATACATATTAGCATAGAGTCCTATACTGTTTGATGGAGAGCCTTATGAGAGCCTTATGGGAAACACCGCTTAATTCTTCTAGAAAATTCTAATTCCATTAATTTTCACGGGCTTGCGTTAGAGCGTTAAGTTAACGAAGTGAGCATTTTGGACATCTTATCCCTCTTGCATTAATTAGAAAACTGAGACCGTAGAGGCCCATTCGTTGAGACAGTGTTTCACAACTTTAACACGATACATTATGGATACCAATCACTGATCAAATGTTCTGGAACTTTTCGAAAGGATCTAGCAGGACCTCGTCACCACTCTAATACAGCTAGCATGCTAACGTCCACAACGAAAACAGCCCTGCTTTATTACGTAGTGCGGCTGCGGTGGGCACGGACTTGTTCGCTACGGATGCTGCGGCATGTCACGGGGCTGAGTTCAGTTCCGCCAGTTCGTTCTCCGCCAATTGTTGTGCGTCGCTTCAACAACTGTACAAGTTCACTCCAAAAGCATCCGCTGCGAGCAAGGCTGTATTGGTTTATGTTATGTCAGTATCGCTCCCTAGCTGCCACCACACTAGTGCATGGAAAGAGGGTGGGGTGAAGCAGAAGAGGTACTCTGAGGGAATTATTCTTGAACTCGTTTTTTCCGCAATTTTCACTTTTTCGCTATTGTACTATTATTAATGGTCATAACCCCACAATGCACATGCACAGCACTTGCCAGGGCTTGAAGACTCATTCCACGATAACTTGGTTCTTTTGACTGGCTTTCACATGGAATGTTTGCTAACAGCACTCTGAAGTATTCAAACACAGCACCTGCTCCTTCATTCGGCTGGTTTCTGGTCCCTTGGTTTTTTTTCGTTTCTGAAGAAACCGAAACCTTCGAACTTTTACGTTTGATCTAGAGCCAATCAACGCACGCCCAGGTTATCGCGGAACGTCTCCTTTCGGATTATTAGAGTTCCCCTGAGCTATTTCATCTGATTCTCTTGTTCTATGATTATGTAAAAATTTGCTCAAGATGGTTTCCGAACAAGAGCGCCAACAACAGAGCTGACGACTGAGGCCCCAACGCCGACCACGACCAGGCCAATAACGATCAGCAGAACGTCTCAAGCACAGCAACCGCATCAAGTGTAGGTGTTTTTGCATTCATTAACTAAAAAGATAAAGTACCCTAATTGTTGCCATCAATACACTCGCTTTTATGTTATCGCGGCGCGCATTTAATTCCTTCCAATACTCCTTTGTTGTGGGTATTGGATTAGATGCGGCTATATCACAATGCTCTGGTTGGTGCAGCGAATGATACAATATCACGTGCTCTAACATCGCAGATGAATAATGACATCAATTTACCCGTTTAGAGGGGTAGAAGGCTTGCTGACCTAGAAAGAAGCCTGCAGCTCGGAAGATTTGCATCCTTTAGAATGCTGAGTGTGTTAGCGCGCCACGCTGACCTACACAACCTTCGCCTCTTTGCAGTCAGCTCATTAGAATACATCTCAAGGTGTGTCGCTTAAGCTAACCAAATGCAGATTGGTAGCGGCGCAGTAAGAATGAAATGAGAATCAATATGTTGGAAAAAATAAGATTTTAGAGGAGAGCGAGATCGACGCATGACATGTAGTATTTTACATTCTTAGCAAAAAGAGTAGAAAAGGAAAACAGAAAGATCTCAGTGCGAGAAAGTTGCATTCTCGTCAGTAAGGTGAAAGCAACAATCTATCACGAGGTACTGGTTCATGGTTCAGGATCCAATAAAACGACAGCACTGGGGCTTTTTTTAGGAAAGAGCACCAGGAATGTGAATTCTTCCTTGGGGATGGTATCTGGTAATTTGTTGCCCAACTGGATCCATTGGGTCTCCAAGATGGGGCAGGGTGTTCAGGGATGGAGGTGCGGAGGAGGTGAGAGGGCAGACGGCGAAAGAGGCTTTATGAATGGCCCTGCATCTGCACAAGGATCAAATAGGCTCTACGTGAAAATGCTGCAGTATGCAGCGTGAACTATCCTGAAAGTAGCAGCAAAACTCGTATGAAATGAAGCAGAGCAATATTTGATGAAAAACTATCGAATTCTTCCATCCCTCTGACATTCAACTACAAAGTGCCAGGCAGGACAACTAGCCTGTCGAGCGCGGCCGTCGCTTGCCACGCCCATCAGCGGCATATTACGATTGTCTTGTCACATGCCTGACCTCGATCGAGTCAACTTCAGAGCAGAAAGCAGTGAACGATGGCCCATTTTGATTGAGGGGATCGAACGTTGCTTCAAATCAGGTTGCTCCGCGAGCCTTGCACTGAAATTTTTGTACCGATCCAGTATTTTATATGGTTCAAATTAAAATGTTCCCACAATAGATGTAGTGCAGTGAGTGGCTCTCAGGCGACCCGCAGGTGACTTCCCTGGTGGAGCTCTGTGCGGTGCTCCCAGAGATCACCCTAATGCCACTTGCAGTTCACTTACAAGTTAACCGGAAATGAGACTTGAGCATGGTGTGTCATGGTGGTCATTACAATGTTGATGCGTATTCAGAAGCAGTAAAGCTACGAATATTAGAAAAACTGCGATATTTGATTCACGACTTTCAAAATAACTTGATGTAGCAAATGCTCCTCGCATTTGAGTGTACGTATCGAGTAACGATTTTAAAACATCGCGATTGAAAGGAAAAGTTCGAACGACGGGCCACGGCTTCAAAGAGATATCGGACTTTTAAAGATTCACCCAGTCATCGAACCTACAAAAGCACTATTCCGGCAGAAAAATCTAATCCAGTGCCGCAAGTTTCGTTTACAACCCGAAATATCGCCGTTCCAGAACGTTCTTCCGACCTGCGACGATACGCCCATCTTTCTCCAGGTTTAGGCGACCACAACAAACTACATTCACCAGTTTGAATCCGACAAGGTTTTTGATTAGAATTTTTAAATTTTGTTTTCAGTAGAATTACTGAAAGATGCAATTACTTTCCCACCAGTTTCCTATAACCACACACGCAGTCAAGGAAGCGACTCTTTCAGAACGAATAGTTGCGAGCCTTTGCCAATTCGAACGCCTACGGGTAACCAGCGTTCATCAGCTACGACACCTTGTAAGTCATTTTCCTCTTAATGACCATTCTCCGGCTGCAGTGGCCACAGTTCTGTAAACGATCACGTGAATATCTATGCGTTGACCGGCATGAGACGCGCGCGGTAGGCCGGATAGGCTACTTTATGGAGGATTACGGTTCCGGTAAAGCCGCGGACGCCACCAACCAACCAACCATTTCATGAAACAGGCTTATTTCGCGCCACCCTATGCATGAAATGTTGCGCTGGCGCTAGTCGAGACGTATGGCCTTGTCTTCTGAAACATAAATTGTAACGTTGCGGCGAATCTGGTCAGCTGCGAAAATACCTAACCATTTCCGACTTCCTTTCTACCCCACCGGTTACTGAAAACAAGCCTACTACATCGAGGTGGGTGAAATGGTTTTCCAAGTGACCCTTCCCCTATGTGTTCTCCTGCGGTATCAGCCCAACCTCGAGGGCATAAGCTTCGGCAGCTTTCCAAAATAGTGAAGTTGTTGCTACACCCAATAAAGAAGTATGGGAAAATTTGAGCTGTAAAAATCAATGTTCCGGGAAATCCTGAGACTAACTACGACCCGCTCGCCCCCAGCGGGCGCGGTCGTAGGCCGCCTGCGGGGGCCGCATTTTCCAGGGATGGCTACCCTTATAGCCCTCCCTATTGGCGCAGCAACATACCTACCTGGACCCACACTCCGCCCCAGCGTTCGCTCGTCCACTGCCGCAGTGCAGCGAAGAAATAAAGCCCCATTTCGTGGTTTCCCCACCATTTCGCCCCGTTTTTTCACTATTTTTGCATTACTGGGCACCTTTGCTCTTTTTCAAAGTGTACATGAAATTATCGTGCCAACTGCCTTAGAGAGACGCTACTCTGGAATTTCTATGCTTCACATCCAGGGTATATCGTATGAATTTGAAAAATCCAGGCCTACATACCATTCCGGTGGCCATTTTTCAGCAAAGCTTAGCCATGTTGCGCTCTGACCTAGCGAAAGCCGTATCGCGCTGTGTATGCGAACAATGAAATGAGAGGGTCGCAAGTTCTATAAATGGCTGAAGCAGCTTGTCACCAGTCCCAGTGAGAGGGTGCAGACGAGCAAGTGTGACGTGGCTCAGTCCAGAGGGATAGTGTTCCTTCGCCAAGCTTAAAGAGGCAATGTTTTTTCTTCTATACCACTCCCGCCACCTGACGGGGATCGCACAGCGACGGTGTATATTTTTTGAAAGTCATTTTGAGCACCCTCATAACACCGCTTTGCGATTACCTGGACAACTGATACAAGTAGATCTGCGAAACGGTGCCATTGGAGTCGCAAGTGTGGCAGCTCAAACTTTCAAGCATTCCTTTCTCCATGCCCTCCTTCATGATTGGTCAAAGAAAGTAATTTGCCTGGTTGAAACTGTAAAAGTGAATGTTACTGAGGGTGTCAAGAGAACTCCCTAATTACAGCTTTCTATTTCAGACTGTTTTGATCGCGACGGAGCTGATCGCTGCGTAGACTGGGTTCCATACTGCTTCAGTGAGCGATTCTACGTCTATATGAGAACGTATTGCACTAGATCTTGTGGTTACTGTTGATCTCCTCTCAGTGTGATAATAATTGTCATTACTTTCGATATTTACTGCTTACTTTTGGACTCCAATAAAAATGTATCAGATTATAACATGAGGTTAACTGTGGACGTCGTGCAGGGGCAAGAAGAGTACAAGAAGGCAACACGGCTCGTGTATTAAATCCCTTCAAAGCTACTATCCAATCCTTAGAATCACTCAATGTCAAATTTCTTAGTGTTTAGAAAACAAGAACCCTTTCAAACGTGGCTTCTCAATTCACTATTACTGTGGGAGAGAGGAGGGCGGAGGGTGCGCGGGGGATCGCCTACTGAGGGGGGGGGGGCGTGAGGGCTTATTGTTTAGCGCTTCCGCCAGTGTTCGCGAAGGGATGCGAGGGCTGAATGAGCATTTCGAGAATAAGTGAATGAGCACATGCGTCTTGTTCTGTTTGTATTAGTGGGCACACACCAAGCGGGAGGGACTGTTAGGCTTGGGAGTGGCATTCGGCCCTTTTGCTTGTTTTTTTTTTGCTAGTTCATGTTAACAAAAATGTCTTACCTTGGTAAGACCTGTAGATTCTTGTCAAAGTGAACAACTCCAGGCTTCCGCACAGGTCTCCAGGAACTTACAGGTTTTCACAGGAGGCATCGGCAGTGATCGAGGGGAACCAGTAAAATGCCCCCACTGAGCCCAGCTGCGCCCACACCAGTCTGTTCACATGACTGAGGTTGCTCGGACTGCTTGAGTCCTGTCACCTGGTGGTCAAGCACAGGCCGCAATCAGTTTTGAGGTGACCGCCAAACGATTCAGCGTGGAATTTGTTTTCACTTCGTCGATTCTCTACTTTTACCTTGTCACGCTCAAGGACAACTGCCTGACGGATATCAAAACAAACCAGAAGATGTAACACAAAACATTTTATTGTAACATATTTTCTACAGTGCGCTACGGACAGTCTCAAACGAAAAAAGCTGATAGATCTAGTACCATGAGAAACAACCAAAACAGTCGCTACAAAAACACTTCAATAGAGCATGAACAACAACTGGTATTCTTAAACCAAACTACTATTACCTCCAACACTCGTAAAGCCTCTCATAACTCCTCCCACTACCCATCAACGTATCAGGACGTTATGCTTCTCAATACTCATTGGTGCTTATCTGGTCTATGCTGTGGGCAAAATCAAATGCATATAGCAAATCTTATTCCATTGATAGGTGAGGGAAGTAGTAAAACTGGCATAGGAAAGTTTCCAACGCGAAAGCAGCAAGTCGAGTTACCGTACTACCCATAAACTATCAGCTAAAAGCATATCAGTCATTGAAAATACCGTAACAGTTGCACTACTCAGGCAGTATGGTCGAACTTATATACTAACTCACGATCGTACCAGTTGTGCAAGCGAAATAGTGCATGCCCCTTCGCCTTCTGCTGACAGAAGCTCCAAAGAAGTAATCGTGTCGAAGGGACCAAGCTTTCAGGCTCGATTGCAAGAATAGGAAATTACTTTGGACGCGCCACAATTATTTTTTACCAACTCTGGTTTTTGATAAACTACAGTCGACTAGAGAAGCACTAAAGGTGATAGAGAGCCACAACATCTATAACGCTACAAAAAAATACTGTATGAATTTCTGGTCACTCGCTCTGGACTACCCAACAACAAAAAAACGTCACCTACGGAAACAGTGCTTGGTGGGATCTTACTATTGAATGAAACTACTATCTACTCACTAAATTACACTAGTTATTCAAAGAAGCATGGTGTGCGGCTTTTCGAGGAACTCTTTGAAATGTTTTAACCAGACCGCTCCGACTGCTCCATCTACGACGCGATGATCACAGGACAGTGTCACTTTCATGACTTTTGTACTCCGGTATCTGAAAATGGAACTATTTCAAGGATAGCATCAAAAAATGAAGGGTGTAGGATCAGAACCCATGGCGCCACTGCGAATAAACCAGCCAGCATATGCAGCACCTTTAGTTCGAATAAATCGTGTCACGGCACATACTATAATTTCATTTGACACCATTTCACGGTATTATCTTAATGTAAGCTGCTATGATACACTTGAATTAACCACAGGTGCTGTGCCGATTCCAGTGGCTGCACTGGGCGCGATGTTGCGCCTCGGATGTCCTGATCTGCGCTCAAAAACCACTAAGGTGGTAACGGAAGAATTCAGTGAAAGAGCATTCGTGAATAACGTTTTTCAAGCACAACCCATTCTTTTCAAACCTTGCTATGCTCTACTGCTCAATATCCAAACAAGGAGCAGCTGCTTTGGGTTTGAAACGACGCACGGTCCTTTTTCATTTTTCGCAAGAACGTAAGCATCTAGGGGACCATCACATTTTTTTTCAGTTGTAAGAGTTTTGGCATCCTCTCTGAGTACTTGTGCAACTTGGCTGTGGTTTGAAAGAATGTTGACTCCTTGGAGATCGAAAAAAGCCAGGAGGACGAAAGAAGCCAGTGCGACCGTTCTGAGGGTTTCACATGCGAGGACGTCGCAATGCCGCCCATTTCGATCGTATATGAACCTCTGCCAACGTTCACAGAGCCGCACGATCATACTGACGTCTACTCGCCACGACAAAAGCATCTTTCGCCGCTCTATGGTTGTTCTCAACTTCGGTTGCATCGAAATAGCAGCCGAGTAAAATGAAATTCATGAGTCGAACGCTAGTTAAGGGAATGATTAGGAAACTCCGATTGTGAACTCTGATTGTGAGTGCTACAAACTGAATAGGAGACATGGGCCTGAAAAACCGTTCACTTGTTCAGAAAATGAAATGGAGCCAAATTAGGCCACATTCCCCTTACTTCTGCTGAACATCAATCGGCCAGTTTTTTCTCACCGAAGAAGAAGAAACGTTAGTTCCGTCAGAAAACGCCTTTTGTTACTATCAGATTCAAAGAGGCTTGGACATGATTTTGTCGGTGAAAAGGAGGACTAGGACTTTTTTTGATGTTCAGTGAATGCGACATAGACTGAACCCTATTTCAGGCGCTTGATTATCCGACGAGTTAGTGATTCTTCTTCATCAGCATCCTATTTGCCTGCTATTCCGACGCAAACGGTTCAAATCGGCCTTAGGACGGCCTAATAGATGTTGATCGCACGGCTTTTGAAACGCTGGCAGAGGTTTCCAGGTGCGAATAAGACCAAAAAGGATCATGTACCCCCTCGCATACCCAAAGAAAATCCCAAAAAACTCTGCAAGTTTCAAAAAGATGAGCATTGTGGCTATGCTGCAGGCACTGAAAAGCGTTGCTGTGAAAATGAATAAGGACCGCGCACCACGCTAGAACGTTGCTACTTGTTTGCAACACTGAACAGTATAGCATATTGAAGTCTGATCGAGCGTGGCATTAGGAATTCACAGAGCTGAATTGCTAAACGTACCCTTCCTCTTCGCATGGAACCAGCTTCGTTTCGGCACCACCTATTGCAAGGATACATGATTGAGGCGGGTTGATGATGGCTGTGAAATCGGTAACACTTCCGTACATGCCAAGGTTCGACACCGTGAAAGTGCCACCCTACAACTGATGGATCAGTGCTGCGCATTAAACAGTACGAGACTTAGAAATTAACCTGGAACTCGTTTGGTTGCAATTTACCCTCTCGGGCACGAGCAGCCAATTCCGTGACCTCCGCCGATATGGTGGCCAGACCCTGAATTGTGAAGGCTAGTTACACTTCCTGTCAAAGTCTAAAGATCCAAACGGGGCAGTTCGGCGGCGGGGGCATTTTGCACTTTTGCTACTTCCCATCGACGTGTCGACCTATCTAGAGAGCCCTTTCTTGAGTTGACAGGTTTTACCATGATGGCTGACGAGCTTGCTCCAGCTTCACAAGAGTTCACAGGTTTCACCAGAGTGAGACTTGTAAACCAGAACTAGTGAAGCAGCGAAAGTGCAAAATGCCCCCCCCGTCGCCGACTGCGCTGATCCAAACTTACCTTTGCATGAGCGTTGAATACAATAGGGGTAATCAGTCCCGATGGAGTGCTCACAGCTACACTCACATCGACGGTGTTATTCTGACGAATGAACGATTCCATCCAGAAACTGTTGACTTCCGGTACACGCAGACACGCCAAAGCAGATGCCTAACATTATTGGGTTCTCCATATAATTAGCCGCAGTACTTGAGATTGGTAACTATTTTGTGAGCTAATAGGATCCACATAAGCACAAACCTTGACAATAAAATCATTTATGGAGATCTTGGTTGATCCACCGGTTCCTTGAGCGAGCAATTTATTCAATTTCTCACGCACTCTGAAGTGACAAAACGTTATTCCTCTTCCTTATGTTTTCAAGCATCACAGGACTGCTTCTTTTATTATACAGTGTTTGCTCAATAAGCTTCACCCAGATGATCTTTATAACAGAAATTCGCAGAGAACTCTATTTCTACCTGATTGTCCACATTACCTTGTCTTCGAGGCGGAGATAGTGCACTAACAAGTGTCCCGCATATCAAGCACGCGGTCCGGGAGTTAAATCCCGCATAAGCTTTAGCTTAGGGCAGCCAAACTTTTTACCCTTCGAGAGTTTCTACCAAATTGTACACTAGTCAACCAAAAAAGGAGAAATAAACAGAAATTGTGTTTTGTTTTCTTTTGCCAAACGAGGTTCTTATGGCGTGGACTAGAGCTTCATGGATTTCGCCCTTTCTGTCTCCTTCAGACAGCGAATCGTGTTGATCTCTCCTGCCACCTCACTCACTCACAGTGCGCTAGTGTGGACGAATTCCCTTGAGAACAAGAGAACTCTTTGTCAAATTTTATGTTGCTCTCTTTGTGGCGCGCGCAGTCGCGCCACCGTTACAGTAGTGTAGGACGGTCGCGCATGTATGTAGACAAATAGTGGATTGGACGTTCGAGTGGCTTGTGTCTTGCGAGGATATAAGCAGGGCAGGAGATAAGCCAAAGGTCTGTAGCGCTAGTGCTTCGGAGAGCATAGGAGAATAGGAGAGTACCAGATGATGTATAAAGCACCAGTCTAATATTCCTATTCTTCTATACACTTCCCGAACACTAGCGGCCTGGCGCCGATCGATACCAATCTATGGCTACATTCGAACCAGTAAGAGAAGATCATTGCCGCGACGACAGGTCAACAACCAATGCGTGGGTGGTGTCTGAATGGCAGCTTTCCAGTGTCTTTACCATGTAGCGATCTTAATCTTTGCTGCCCCCTCCGATGCAAGCCGATCTTTTGTTTGACCTTGTCGCCTCTAACGACAACACGCTTGTTGCATCTGTCCGCTTCTTCCTATGTCGACTCCATTCGTTCCGAGTTTCCTTTCACTCCTTTCACGAGTCATGTTCTACTTTTTACGTCCGAACGCTCAGGCAAGGCAATGTGATGGATCTCGCCGATGGTGAACGCAACCTATTTCATAAGAAAAACGTGTACTGAGTCCTCACAGGCGCTAATGCACTTCTGCACTGATAATATGTATGCATTTTCGGAATTTCATCCTCTTCAAACATTACACATCTACCGGCGGTGGCTGGCAAGTTAATGACGTTCTTCTTGCTGACTCGAAAGATCGCCGTTAAAGGTGAAAAGCGTTTCTTAGTCTGAGTCAGATACTGAAAGTTACTGTAATCACTATCGCACTGGAGATTTCAATGCCAAGAGATTGAGTGGGTCGGTTAGGAGTCATGGCAGCTGCTTCCCGATCATTATCGGAGCAATCCCCTCATTTGATGTTAGACAGTTAGAAAGTTGTGGTAGGTTTGCGGACAGTGCGAGAGCACTACCCATGCGACGGACATTCTAGGCAAGGTCCACTCCCGCCGTTCAGTAGTTAGAACCAACTTATAGCTTGCCATCAAGATGCTTCTTTCCGCTGTCATTAGTATATCACGAAGTTTTTGATCTTCTGCAATTTGATAGGCCGACGATCAAAGTGCCAAAAAGAATGCGAGAACTCGCTTTTGTTCGACCCGAAGAATCTATAGAAAGCAACTGAGCAGAGGGAAAGCAACTGTAGCTGCCCTAATAGAGCCAAGAAAATTATCTATCGTATATGCTTTAGAACACAATGGAAACGGTTCTCTCTGATACAAATTTCATCGTAAAAAGCATTATTCTAAGGCCCACCCAATATTTCTACTACCGCGTACACCCGCTCACTGTGCCTGCTGGTTTTTGGTGAAAAATCGCATTTTATTAGCTCTGGCATTTGCTAGTGTCCATCAACGAAAATTTTATCATTCGAGACCTACTTACAAAAACCAACAGAACTTACTTGAGCAACGCGTCGATGTTAATTTCAGCGGTGAGATAGTAATGAGGAATTGTGCTCTTGCTTTCCGTTAAACGCTTTGCAATAGTACTGCGCATACCCGTAAGGGGAATATCCTGGAAAGAGAAAGCGGTTCGAATGAGGATCACAATTATGTAACAGCCGTGATATATTCCTGTATTAAGTGTAAACATACTGTATAAGCAGCACCCGGCGTACTAGGAATGGCTGGACGCGCTGCTGCAGCTCCGGCAGCTGCCGGTGCGGCCGCACCAGCCGGAGCTCGTGCAAGGTCTGCTGCGAGAATTCGTCCACCAGGACCCGTACCAGCTACTCCCTGCAAAAGCGGTAATATGACCTTAGACTGATGTTGAACTGTAGGAAACTTACACTTATATCCACGCCACGCTCAGCAGCGAGCTTCCGGGCGAAAGGCGTAGCGCTTACATGTCCTCCCGGATGAGCAGCTGCAGGTGGAGGGGGTGCAGCAGCCTTAAATGGTTTCCTTTGTCATATTAACACCAGTATTCCCTTGAATAAAGACAACTGAAACAGTTTACCGAAGGAGGCGGCGGAGGGGGTGGTGCAGCCGCTGGTGCTGCGGGAGGTGGTGAGGCTGGCGCAGGAGCAGGCGGTGGTGGTTTCACTGTTGCTCCATCATCTTTGAAGTTCTTGAACGCTGCCACTTTATCTTTGCTGTCGACTATTATGCAAAGTAGCTAAAAAGAGAACAATTAGGAATTGACATTCAGGAAAATGCAGGGGGTTTGTAACCAACGACTGACTTTTCCAATTGGTACGCCCCTGGTGTCTTCAGGAATGACAATTTTTGCAAGGAAACCTTCTTCGGGAGTTTCAAAACCCATGGTGGCCTTGTCCGTCTCGATCTCACACAACACGTCACCTTCAGCCAGTTCGTCTCCCTCTTTCTGAACATGAAAGAATTTCGTAGTTGTTACGATTATAATATTAATAATTCAATGCTTATTGGCCTAAGGATAGTACTTTCGAAAGATGGATCAAAAAATTTCGCCAGAGAATATTTTAGGGTGAAATTAAAAGAGCACAAAGTCGAACCTTCTGCCAGCTAACTATCCGGCCAGTCTCCATAGTCGGTGAGAGAGCAGGAAGGGCAATACGGCTACATGGCGGATAATCTCCTCAAAAAACATAAAAAGGTCAGTTGTGAATCGCCGTTCATGGAAATTTATGAAGTGTGAAGTGCTTCTGATCTCCATTCAGAATCAAAAATGTTTGATGATTCATCTACAAAACAACTAGCTAGCTTGGTGTTTTTCCAAGCCGTTACTTGCCTTGAAAGTAGATCGGGCAGGAGTAAACCGTTAGAAAATATTCAGTAATGACATGTACAGGGGAAGCCAATTAAAAAAGACACTTTGGCCGAGTCACATATCAGTAAAGTTTACGCAGCCCCCACACAGAACAGTGAATACGAGTATCAGGGCTCAGATGTTCCTCCATAAGCAGGAGCAGGCTCTCGTCCATCACCTTCATGTACACCAAAATATGAAGCATCTCCAATCGCAGCCTGACTGGAGAAGGCCTATGGAATTCATGTCACCTCCCAAACAGCTGCGAAACTTCTACAATAGTGTGGAGTCACCCATGGACAGCTACCCGGAGA